TAAGGATTACATTTAAATGAACTTTTTTTTTTGTTTTTTTTTAGTTCACCCTTAAATCCTATCAGTATGGCACAAAACAAGCCGACCTGAACTTGTACTTGGCTGCACTGTGGTTTGATACAGCGTGCATTTAAATGTACAGAACGTTGTACCCTGAACTATAATTATGATGATTTGCCAACCAAAATAACTCATGCTTACACACTAAGCATACTTTGTGTTCCAAAACAGCTTTAGATGAACCAAGTAATCATTATTCACTTGAATATATCAATCTACAAGGCACAATACAGGCACAGAAACCTAGATACTATTCACCACTCAAAGTGGAAAAAACAATATTACAAACGCTACTACCATGATTATTTCCTGTTCACTACAATTAAAATGTTGTTTAGTATAGATTTATGGGTAAATGTCAATTTATAATTATAACAATACAATAACATCCCCAACACTGAGAACTTCTGCTGTTCCTCACTGGTCTAACAGAAAGGAAATAAAGGGGGCTGAGGGTGGGAAGCACAGATTTGTACCATGGATTTCTGGAAGACCATACTGCTATGCAGAAAAGTAAGCACACATTTTTAATACTTCCAAAAGCTAGTTATAGTAGGCTGAAAACATTTATTTTTCCCCGAGTTCTTCCAGTTCTTCCAATTGTATCCTTGCCTTTGACCCTTCTATTAAAAAAAAACAAGCAGTACATCCTTCAATGCTCTGTAGTGCTTCTTCTATAGTATGAGACACATTTATAAATATTTACGATAAAGCATTGTTGGAGAAATGTTACTTTGATTTTCTGATATCAGGCAAATCACAAGGATCACACGCTGGAAACTTGAAGTGTTAACCTCCCATCCCTTTACTATGATTGGCCTAATCAGTCAAAATACAAAGAGTATCTTTGTATACATGAGCAGGAGTACAGCCATTCAAAGCCTATGAGGACCTGAAACCGAAAAGTCAGTTTACTTGGGGGCTTAATATCTCAATGGCCCTTTATGGGCTCATACCCAAGACCATGAGACAAGTCAAATGCGGTATACCAGTTAATTTTGACAGCAAATTTCGATTCAGTTTCGTCATAGGCGTTTTAATAAAATGCCATTTAGTTTTAGTCATATTTTAGTAATCTGATTTGTTTTAGTCTAGTTTCATTCGACTAAATCTACAGTAGAATTAGTCTACTAAAATCTAGTGAGTTTAGTTAAAGAGTGATTTAAGAATTTATCTAGAAGTTCCAATCTTATTATATATTCCTGGAGTAAACATCTGTTAGCCTGGTATTACTTATGGTATTAAGGTTTGAACATGCAATACAGACACAGATTTAACTGTTATGATATGTAACATGTCTTTATTTATCTTAAAATTAGATTAAACCAAGTCTTATAAAGAGGTAATAATATTGAGTAATTTCCAACAAAGGACCAGTAATTAGATATGCATGGATTATAACAACTTGCATATGACATTCTTCATTCTTTCAAGCAGAAGTGCAACTCTAAAATATTACAATGAAAAACTATATTGGCTGTAATGCCATTGCACATATTACCTTTTAGCCGTCCATTCAGGATGGAACCAGAACTGGAAGTCCAAAGAGATTAGTTCTGATTGGATCTCTTCCCAAAATCGTCTCTCCCAAACATTTTAGTCTAGTTTTAGCTAGTAAACTAAAATGTCAATATATTTTTTGTTACAGTTTTACTCATAACTTAGTTTTTATTTAGTTTTAGTCACTGAAGAAGTGTTGTTGATGAAGACTATGATGAAAATTATTAGTCGACGAAATTAAAACTGCAGTTTACTTTCACGCTCTCTAGAGCTGCTCATGGAGTTTCTCTGAGCTGCATCACGCTGCATTTGAGGAATGACTTGGGGAAAAAGTTTTGGTACAAATAAATGTCGTTAATGCCAAGCCAAGAAAAATCTCCCTGTTGCTTTCAACTACAATGGCCATGGCATCTAGGTGGACCCAAGGACTCTGATCTACTGCATACCGTAGAGATCTAAAATACAACAGTCTCTGTACTCAACTTATAAACAGTACTGAGTAAATCCCTGAATAAGTACAAATGTTAATATTGAGGGGTTTAAATATAAAATGTCTATCAGAAGCAACAACGAAACCTGGGGATCACTTTTACAGAATAACTTGCCAAGAAAAAAAGTTATTACTTTAGCTTAGCACCCCCTTCCCGATCCCAATATTTACCAGAATTGGACATGCGCCGCAGGAAGGAATCTTCAAAGCCCCGGGAGAACATTTTTTCCCTCTGGCCGTGCCTGCGCAGTTGATACCGTTATATTTCTATGGGGCTTTTTTCAAAATGTGTCTCCTGTTTAAAGGAGATGGCTCAATAGACAATCTATGGCGGCACAACCATGCTTCGGATGTCTAATTTATGTATGAATGCACCACCTGTATGAGTTTCAGGCAGGCCAAAAGGATAACTGTACTTTCTCTGAAACTACACTTATCATTTAATGTTAAATAGTGACATAATTTGTATTAAAGGAAACTTTGACTTGTGCGTTAACATTAAGGGAGACATCCTGCTGAGAGGAGTTTGACCAGTTTCTTCTACTTACTTTTCCTGTATGCCTTACGCATATTAGAGAAATAAAAGGATATAAGGTGGCCATAGACACAGGATGATCAGCAACCAATCTTGCCTCTGTTAATGTTACAGACACATGCTAAGCTCCCCTATAACACCTATGTGTTGGGGGCCTAATGACATGCAAATCAGCCAGGCATCACCCGCTTTCTCTAAATGCAAACACATTGCAAAGTTTTTCGGAAAAAAAATATATAACTTTACTAAAGCACAGAAAAGGTATAACCGGACAGGTTATGGTGAAGTGAACCAAGTATGTAAAGGCAAAGAGGCAAACTTCACTATGTAAACTGCTTTCCTGCTCTACAAACCTGTTGATCCTGCCTGTTTCACTTGTTATGTTCTAGGGTGACAACGCTGTCACGGGCCCTTTGAAATTAATAGAGCATTGTCACTGTCCTTAGTGTCCCCACTTCTGAACTACATTCTGGTTTCAAAGCCATCAGTGGACGCGGATGGGGGTAAGCAGCCAATTAGGGATTGTGGAGGAATAGGAGAAAGTATCAGAGGTCTACTAGACCCCCTAATGCCTCCATGAATAGTACTCATCACCCCCTATGTACTATCATATAGGGCCCCCTTGTGGCATAATGAAATCTAGTTAAAAACATTAGAAGACCATATATAATCCAAACAAAATTTTAAAAGATCCTCACCATATACTCACATTCATGGTGAACATACATAAGCCATCATTTTGGTTTCACTTAAAAGATAAGCTGTAAAGGTCTTCAAGGCATTGATAAAATGTACCTGACATATTTCTCTTATGGCAGGTTTTAAAAGGAACATAAAAACCCCTTCACTAAACCAGCACAAAAAAAACTCATCCTTTTGTGTTTATAGATTAGAAAGTAACTATAAATCTCCCTAATGGGACACAGAGGACAAACAGAAAGCTTTTAACTATTCCATACTATAAAATCCAAATGAAAAAAGTTATTTATTTTAAAATAATTTAAAGTGCATCAACCCAAAAACAAAAATGTAGTATATTGCAACTTAACAGTCCTTAGATGTGGTGGCTGCATTCGTTTAATTTTCAGGCTTGAATTTCCATGCTCCTCCTTTATTATTATTTTTTTTTAATTTAAGTTTTTATTAAGATTTTCAAAAGCCATACAAAAATGAACACAAAATGTCTTTCTACATACATATAGATAGACAAATGTATAGATCGATCTTTTACATCTGACATATGGTTCTATCAACACACGATACAGGTGCTGCATTCAATGTATATATTTTTTATTATATCTGGCCTCTCCTTGCATCTGTCTGGAAGGAAGGGGGAAAAAGGAGAGAACGGGAGAAGAAAAACATTTCATACTGTATTGTATCTATGGAGGGGCAGCGTTGTCACTCTAGGCTGCTCTCCTGATATGGACTACAGACACCTCCCTCTCTCCATTACAAGGGAGATATGATCTGCAGTTTACAGACAACATATGGGAAAGCCAATAACATTGTTTGAGATTTCAGTTCAGTGCGCAGGAAATGACCAAGTCACTGGATTCCAGGCAGGATCAATAGTTATTTTTCTACACTTGCAGAAAATTTTCTTAACCTGAAAAAAGGAAATGAATGCAACCACCCCATGTAAGGACTGGTACACTGCAATATATTTAATTTCTGTTGTTGGATTTAGATGCACATTTAAGTCAAGGACTGTATTATAGTGTGCACCCAAGCTCAGAGGGCTCCCTGGGTCCACAGAAGGGGATTTTCAGCAGAACAAAAAGGTACCCACAGGACCCTTGTGTTGCCTACGCTTTCTCTGCGTTGTTAGACCAATCGGGGGAAGTGAGAGGTTCTCTTTAAGACTACATTAACACTGAGAATATTTATGAAAACTTTTTGGAACCTAAAAAGCAGCGTGGGAGCCCTGTCCCATTAAACTCCCATGTGTGCAGGTGTATCCAGTCAATCCTCATTATTCACATCATAGTGCAGATCGGCGCCACATATATTTTCATATAGCTTTAAACAGTGGCTTGATACAAAGCAAGCCAGCAGTCCCATGCTGCTAAATCTTTAATGGCAAAGAAAAAGGAATTCCTTAACTTGTCGGCACTACTTAAGGCCACAGCGTTTGATCAAAGCATAGCGAGCCCGAAAGGAAAATGTAAAATGACAGGGGGGCGTTAAATGCTAAAAGCCTGTTTGTTTACTGAGAGCCCAGAACCAAATCTGGAACATGTGATGGCAGGACCAGTGTTCTAGAATCCTTCTGGGCCGAATTCTGGCAGAATCTGGACCCGCTGTAAACTGTACAGAACAATTCATATTTTCAGTTCATCAGAACACTTTTCAGCAGTCTATCAACATAGCTGACTAATCAAGTTTTTAATTGCTTTAATGACATGTCATTACCTTTCATTTCGGCACAGAGGGTATTGGACGGTACACGGTCTTCGGGGAGGGCCTGGGAATGTAGGTCATAGTCTTTCTGTAATATTCTTGGCTGCGTGAAGTAATCATTTGTGTCCCGTGGTTTGATCTCACTCATTATCATGTGCAACTGAGCCGCGGCTTCTGCGAAAGACAATGGGCACAGTCAGTGGGGAACGGTGAACCGCAAACAGCTTTGTCTCCCAGAGTTCATCGCTGTGCCCTGACTGTTTTAGGTAACAGGACCCAAAACGTCTGAAGGCACGGCGGTTGTGTCGCTCAGCACAAAGGAGCAAAGACAAAATAGTCTCATACAGATCAACTGTTAACAGCTATGGAAATAAAAGGTCATGAGACAAAACGCACTGAAGGGAAGTACTCTAAAGAAGAACTCTAATGGAAAAGCAATGTATCTGCTTAAAGGGAAACGTTACTGATCTCTCAATGCCAACTAACACTCAACAAAAATGCAGTTGAAAGTGTTACACATTGGAAAACTGTGTGTTACTATTCATTATCATGCTGACCTAATGCACGGTTTGCATCACACAGAAAAAGGAAGTTCCTATTTGTCAACTACTTTTTTTCCCCTGGTTCAGATTTTTTTTATCTACAAAACTGGATATCAATAACACATACACTATATTGCCAAAAGTATTGGGACACCCCTCCAAATCATTGGATTCAGGTGTTCCAATCACCTCCATGGCCACAGGTGTATAAAATCACGCACCTCGGCATGCAGATGCTTCTACAAGCATTTGTGAAAGAATGGGTCGCTCTCAGGAGCTCAGTGAATTCAAGCGTGGTACCGTGCATTCAAGCCTTACATCACCAAGTGAAATGCAAAGTTGGATGCAGTGGTGTAAAGCACGCCGCCACTGAACTCTAGAGAAGTAAAGTGGAGACGTGTTCTCTGGAGTGACGAACGCTACTCTGTCTGGCAATCCGATGGACGTGTCTGGGTTTGGAGGTTGCCAGGAGAATGGTACTTGCCTGACTGCTTTGTGCCAAGTGTAAAGTTTGGTGGAGGGGGATTATGGTGTGGGGCTGTTTTTCAGGGGTTGGGCTTGGCCCCTTAGTTCCAGTGAAGGGAACTCTTAAGGCATCAGCATACCAAGACATTTTGGACAATTTCATGCTCCCAACTTTGTGGGAACAGTTTGGGGAAGGCCCCTTCCTGTTCCAACATGAATTGCACCAGTGCACAAAGCAGGGTCCATAATGACATGGATGAGCGAGTTTGGGGTGGAGTAACTTGACTGGCCTGCACAGAGTCCTGACCTCAACCCGGTAGAACACCTTTAGGATGAATTAGAGCAGAGACTGCAAAACAGGCCTTCTCTTCTAACATCAGTACCTGACCTCAGAAATGTGCTTCTGGAAGAATGGTCAAACATTCCCACAGACACACTCCTAAACCTTGTGGACGCCTTCCCAGAAGAGTTGAAGCTGTTATAGCTGCAAAGTGTGGGCCAAATCAATATTGAACCCTACGGACTGGGGTGCCATTGAAGTTCATGTGCGTGTAAAGGCCGGCGTCTCAATACTTTTGACACTATAGTGTAGGTCGTTACCTTTTGAATTCTTGCACAATTTGCAAAAGGAACCAAGGAAACTCCATTAAAAATAATGCAAGCTGCACACATTCATTTAAATGACTAAATGGATACAGGCAACCCACTACCAACACTCTAGCTCATTTCATGGAGGTTGCATTATTCCACTTGCTCATTTTTAATTTGTTTTGTCTATGTGTGTGGCCAGCATAAGTGTATTTTAACTGAAAGATCTGCTGAAGTGACATTGGGTTATGTTATGTGGTTACTTTGGTTGCTAATAATGCTGAAGTAGCAGTGATTAATTGCACACAATTGCAGCATTGTGCGATCATGTGCAATTAATCACTATTAAATGCCATCACGTAGCCTATATCATAAGAGGCTTTTTATTCCATCAGTTAGCAACTGCCCACTACTGAGGATGAGCAAATCAACTGGTAAGTCAGGCAAATTTATTTTTATTTGCCCAAAATTTGATTTGATTTGGATTCCTAAATGGTATGATTCTCCACACATCAGATAGACCAGCATGGAAATATTAAAGCCCAATTCAAACTTTAGTTTAAATCAGCTAAATACATTCCAGAAGCATCAAAACAAAAAAGGTGGGAAAAGTCTTGAAGATTTTCTTTATTAATCAGCTACCATCTGAGTACAAGAACCTGCCCCCTGTCAGCATACTGCAGCGTGGGATCCTTGCCCTGTGTGTGAAAGCAGCGGTCTGATTGCAGAGGTTCGACACACTGCCGTACAGCCAGACCTACTGCTATGCAATCAGCAAAGCTCATGCTCCCCGATGATTGGAGAGCTCTGGCTCTGGCTCTGACTCAGCAGGGGATGTGTGTCGGAACCACTTCAAAGAGATCACTGCTTCCACACAGACAGCAAGGGTCCTTCTCTGCTGCATGCTGACAGGGGGCAGGCTCCCCTACTTAGGTTGTAGCTGAAGAATAAAGAAAAAATCTAATCCTTTGAACACCTTTTGTTCTGATACACCTAGTATTTAGCTAACAAAATAAAAGAATCGAAAATTGCTTTCCCCACACCTCCCCTCCCACTCTCGGACAATCTAACCCATCCTTATTTTTACCAAAAGGATGGGTTAGCACACAGTACACAAATAGTAGTGTATGACAAACATATGGGATGGAAAGAGGAACCACAGCACATAGCAGGGAAACGGACATCTGATACATTCCATAGTGTGTCCAATGTACTGGTTAACTTGACTATTACCAATTTACTTACCTAAATCAATTTTAAGGCCTTTATTCCGAAAAAGTATTCCAAAGAGCTCCATAGACTCACCGCTCCCTCTATGATTAGGTCCAAGTGGTGAAACACGTGAAGGGCGTTGGCGTGGTGTGGGAGATGTTCATGGTGATGTACATGCTGTTCATTGCTCTCTTGGATTTATTTTTTGGAAAAGGTTTTGATTATTTCAATACATTTTGGATTGCACTTTTTCTGGTCTCTATTTAGAAAAGTTTCAATAAAAACACAAATACCAATAAATACCACAGTATAAGGTGGCATCATAGTCACTCAGGACTCTCAGCCAGAGGGGCTGAGTGGCTCCAGGAAGGAGCTGGATTTTCAGTTCTTTCCGGGTTTTTTTTTTTTTATAATTGGGATCCTGGAGCCAGGAGATTTCAAAGAGAATTGGGAGGGATGAAATCTCCATTCCTGGGTCTGTGCGTTAATAGTGACCAGCACCCAATGATTGTGCACCTGTGCCAACCCTTTTGATAAGATTGCTGGCTACTGTTCAGGGCTCCACCTGGGAGACAGGAGGAATCCACCCAAGAATCAGAGTGGAGTTCAGTGCAGCAGGGAGCTGCAGGTTATGACCCAATTGTGCAGGATAGCGTGTCAAGGCTGTCTGGAGGGAACAGACAGTGGCCTAAGGTTCACACCAGCCCCAGTGCGTTCCGGCATGATTCGGTGTTGGAACGCACTGGATCGCATCCTGGCCAGCTCAATGCGTTTTGGGGCGGGAGGGGGCGTGGCGGTGCATTGAAGTCAATGGCACCGCAGCCACCGAATCGTGCCCGGGAACACACTGGGGCTGGTGTGAACTAGCCCTGAGGCCGGAGCAGTGGTGTTACAAGTGCAAAGCCAAGAGGCTAGATGTGCATGTATTTGTGTAGCCTAAAGATGCAGAAGAACCCCCGTGAGGGTAAATGCATTGCTTTTGTGAACTTTCTTTCAATAAAAGTGGGCAAGGAAGCCTTTTAAGAAGATTTCAGCGAGTGGAAGTGTCCTTAAAGCTCTACTATTTGAAAAGAGGCACACTGCCATTTTCAGGATGCACAGGCATCTATTGTGTAACCTGCAGGCTAAAGCCTTCTTTTGGGAATAAAGCCTCCCGCCTGAATGGGAACCACAAGGCGTTTTCTTCTCAAATTCTGATGTTTAAAGGGCAAAGTTTTAAAACACGCTTATAGGAACCATTTATTAGCATTACTTTGCATTAAAAATAGATGTCACTATCTCCGCATAAGAACGACTTGCCTGATTCAGTATCCATTGGCATCAGACCTTCAGGAGAAGAACTGTGAACAACAGGTGAGACAATGGCAGACAGCCGGTAAGACATTGTAATCAGCCGAGATACCAAATTTCTCCATTCCTCGACCGCCAAGAGGCTCCTGAGTACAATCACAGACGTTCTCATTAATAACTAAAATACATCATGATAATAAAAAGGTGCAAACAAAGCGACAGAAGTGTAAAATCACAACAAAAGAAATAACTAGTACCCTCTAGGAGAAAAAATGAAAACTCCAACTAATAAGAACAGTTACATTAAACCTCTCATTTACATTTTTTTTTTAAATCCGCTACACAAACATTTTTGTAATCTGATGTTATTTCGATCTGCAGCCTCAATGATTTTCTAAAGCTGTCAAATGTCTCTTTCATGCAGTTTGGAAACCTGAAGATGTTCTGTGTAGTGTACCAGTACAGACTTTCTACAGAACTCTTATATCACGTTTGTGTGATCTGCTCACTGCTTTTCCCTGAAGTCAGCACAGATCTACAAGTCAAATTAGAACCATCCCCTGCAATGGGCATTTCATTTTTGGTGATATTCTTTCTGAAGCTCATCTTCACTTAAAAGGGATTTGGATACTGCAGCTTTTCTAAATAAAACTCTAAGGCCTGGTTCACACCAAGTGCAGAGCAGGTGCAGAGCAGATCAGTTGCAGACCGGATCAAAACTGCGTCCAATGTATTGCAATGGTATTTTTTGCTCCAGTTCACATCGCAGTGTGCAGTTGCAGAGCAGATCCAGAGCAGGTGAAAAAACTGCAGCAGGCCCTATTTTACCTGCTCTGGAACGCATCAAAACGCATGCAAATGCATGGAACGCACTGAAAGCCCATTAAACCTAAAAAAAAAAAAAAAATTACCAAAAAGATCCCGGAACGCATCAAAAACGCGTCTAAAAGACTAGCGTGCGTGTGCAGAAACCTGACCAGATCTGCTCTGCATTTGGTGTGAACAAGGCCTAAGACTGTTTAGATTGTTGCAATGAATGGTAAGGCAAACTACAATTTCCTCAGAACAGAGAAAAGTATGAAAGGTGTAAAAAACCATTGCAGTGAATATAGGTCACCTGGGGGGTGTGGAGCCAAACTACATAGTAACAGAGCACACTCAGATCCCGGGATTCCTGAGGTCTCTCTGTGGGAAAAGCTGCATTTTACTGGGTGCTTTAAAGTGATCATAAAGGTGCTGTAGGAGAAGGGAATGTATAAACCTCTTGGAAATACCCATTAAACATTCACATTGAAGATTCCAGGCACACCGCTAAATACACAGATAAAATACATATATGTGAGCTGTTATACTTGCCAAAAAAATTGTATTTATGTTCATCAAGTCCTGAGATTTACACAGCCTAGCCAAACAGCATAGCTTTTTGGTAGGAGAGGAAACCTGATTTTTCTCTGCTGCAGTTAACAGGTTGTGTCCCTCCCCTAGTCTGGACAGTGAAAAGAGAATCAGCAGCCTGGTGAATTCCTCTTTCTGTCACTCTGTTCTCTCCTCCTACCATCGTGTCCCTTGTTAGTACATAGACACTTCAGCACAACTAACTGGCAACGTATGCTACTTGTCCCTCTTCCAGTCTGAGCTCGGCTGTACCGTGGATTGAGAGAGTCTGCTACCATGTCAAATTCATCTACTTGCACTACTTGAATTTAAAGGATTAATTATTAAAGACACAGCTGCATTCATTTGTGTCTTAAGCTGCCTGGAGTTTAGCTTTAAACCCCC